CTTTCGTGGGCTAAAACAAAAGCTTTTGCCCAAATAAATTTGTTAGTCTCTAAGGTGCCACAAGTACTCCTCGTTCTTTTTGCTGATACAGACTAATATGGCTACCCCTCTGAAACTTGTATTTCATGGTTATAAGTCAAGCCAATTGATATTGGAGAATTTACTGTAACTGCCCTCTGGATTTACACCTTGGCACTCCCACCCTTTTTCTGAAGGCGTGTTCTTGTTTGTTCGGTCAGAACCAGTGGTTCCTCTACAATGGTTGCTGAATAATTTTGTCCTAGCAGTTCAACTTCCAGCTTCTGTCCAACTTTGCTGAGTTCTGTGGGGACATATGCAAAAGCCAGACTCTGCTGGGTACTGTAGCTGTAATTTCCAGATGTGGTATTGCCAACAACCTGAAAAAAAAACAAACCCAAAACATTAATCTTTTATTTCCAACACTCAATGGGTTTTGTACCATACTAACTTCTACTTTTAAAAATACATCTTGCATTATTTTGAATACTTTAAATATTTTTGTATCCCTACGTAGCGAGGCGACGACTCACCCTGTGGCGCCTCCTGCTGGTCGTCCAGGGAATTAGCTCGCCAGCCTCCAGAGTGCCCTCTACAGGGAGCGCCCTCTGCAGGCTGGTGTCTCGCCTTGCTGCTGGCTCCGGTGTCCCTCCCGGACCCTGGTGCCTCTTCTCTCGGGGTTCTGCACCCTGCAGTACCCCACAGTCTCGCTGGGTCTCCCCTTCCCAGGGAACCCCCAACCCCTTATCCCCACCTCACCTCAGTCTTTGGCTACTGCCAGTCACCATCTAGCCCCGCGCTCATGGGGCGGACTGCAGTATAATTGGCACTCATCATTGGTAAGGAGGGTTTGGAGCCTCTGCCTACCCTTGGGCTGGCCCTCTGTAACCCCAGTACCCTTCTTGGCCTTTAACAAGGCCTGCAGCCTGGGGGTTTTCCAGGCCAGAGCTCCCCAGCTCCTCTGGCCTTTCCTCAGCCCTGCTCCACTATAGATACCATGCTCAGCTCCCAGCAGCCAGGTCCATCCCTCTCAGCATCTAGAGAGAGACTCTGAGTTCCAGCCTAGCAGCCCCTTTATAGGGCCAGCTGCGGCCTGATTGGGGCGTGGCCCAGCTGCGGCTTCTTCCCCAATCAGCCCAGGCTTACTGGTTCCCTGCCACAGCCCTCTCGCAGGGCTATTTTAAGCCCTTCAGGGCAGGAGCAGGGTTACTGCCCTGCTACACCCTAACATCAACAGTCAAGTATACATTGTCTCATTTGTGTCATACAGTTCATAGCAGTCTCTATTTTTGGTGCTATCAGGTAAGTTGGGAATTTCTTACTCCCAAAGAACCACTGGAAAAATCACCAGCAGGATGCTAAATTCCTATTATATTTGATTAAGATCTCACCTGAAACAAATGCTATTTACATTTTATATTCATGCTGAGTATTTTTATTAACTGTTAATGACTGTTTCAACATCTACTCTGTACTTAGATGGCCTGGTGGCCTAAACTTTGGTTTGTGGTTTTGTTCTTTTCTTCTATGCAAATAATTTTGAAATATACTGTAAGTAGAATCCTGTACTTGCAAGAGGATAGAATGGGTGACCTAATACTGTAGGTCTTTTCCATTTCTCAGGGCAGGTCTTCACTACGGGGGGGGGTCGATTTAAGATACGTTCGCGTAGCTGAATTCGACGTATCGGAGCCGACTTACCCTGCTATGAGGACAGTGGCAAAATCGACCTCCGCGGCTCCCTGTCGACGGCGCTTACTCCTACCTCTGCTGGTGGAGTAAGCGCGTCAATTCGTGGATCGACTGTCGCGTCCCGACGAGACGCGATAATTCGATCCCCGAGAGATCGATTTCTACCTGCCGATTGAGGCGGGTAGTGTAGACCTAGCCTAATTTAGAGATTCTATATTTCAAACTCTGGTGTACAATTAGAACCTGCCATGCTACATGGAAATTCAAAAATAGTATTATTGTCCCAAACTGTCCTGCTCCAGTAAAAGTAACCTGAAACACAAAGTGGGATTCCAGTCCTAGAGAATGAATTTTAGTTCCTTGTAAAGTGATGTACATTGTACAGTACTTACTCTGCCATTATGCCACACACTTTCATTTCCCTCTGGATCAATGTTAGCTGTTTCCAAGGTGAGATACACCAGTCGCCGTTTAAGCCCCTTTTCTTTAATCTGCTTCAGTGCTTGCTTTCCTATGAAGTCTGCTGGCTGAAAAAGTAGAAGATAATGATGATGAATGATTATACAAGCTCTGCGACAAGGTTATAGATGCAAGTATTTAAATTTGTCTTCACTTATTTTCTTGTCAATTAAACATTATATAAA